AATGACTTTTATAAAAATTTATACTATAATCTAATTTTTATGCAAGAAAAAAAAACCACAAAAAACATATTATCATCAAATTTATCTAAAGTATTTTGTTATGTAAATTCTAATCTATGTTTATCTATCACAAAAGACAAACTTAAACTTTTTGTAAAAGATAGTTTTAGAAAATACCTTAGGCCTTATTGGTATAAAAGTTGAATTTTTTACATTCTATTAAAAACTTATTAATAAATATTATACAAAAATAATTAAGAATTATATTAAATAAGAATAATTTTTATTAAGCATAGTAAAAGTAATAATTTTTTTTTAAAAGTGCAATCTAAAAATTATTGATCAATTAAAGATCCATCATCTTATTTAATTTGTTATATAAAATATATGATAAGGTATTTTAAAATATCTTAAACCAATTTTTATAGAATTTATTAATTTAGCCCAAAATATATTTTTTCTTCTTTGATATATTCTTGATGAAATTTTAATCATAGAAGAAACTATATATTAAACTAAAATCTTAAATCAATATTTACTATTATTTAAACTTAAATTTTTAAAAGATTATGATAAGATATTATAGCCTTTTATTTTTGGCAATAAAAAATCTATGATTCTATTAAGACTTAATTAAAATGACTCAAGAACTTTTTATAGATATAGAAGTGGTTGTATATATAAATAATAAGATGACGAAAAGACTTCCAATTTCTAAAAAAGAAAGGCAAAAATTCTCTCTTATTTTTTATTTTCTAATTATAGATAATTTAATCAATATATTTATTAATAATAAAATTAAAGAAAAAATAATTAATGACATCACACTCCAATATAAACAATCACAAAAGATAGTCAATTAATATACTAATGTCTCAATTTTAACTATTAAAAGAAATGAAACCTTGGTGTTGCAAGTAATATTTATCTTAAATCAATTCATTTATACTTGGAATTTTATGTCATATTAAATATTATTAAGTTATTATGTCCATTAGTTACTACATATAAAAGAATAATTTCATGAATAACATCTTCAAAAGACAATAAACAACCATCTATAACTTCTACATGTGCAAGCTTAGTTTTTTTGATTAAAGATCATTCTTGTTTTTTAACCGAGTTTTTGTCTATAAAATAAGTTGAGGCTTTTGAATCTAACAAGATAAAGACTTTATATTTTTTTTTGTCTTAAAAAAATATCTATTATAAATTAAGATGAGGGATTTGAAGAGAGAATAGGACCTTCAATAGTTGTTGCACAAGATTCCAACCACATGATCTTTATTATAGGTAGAATTTATTTTTTTTTTAAATATTATCTTCTTTGGTAATCATGCTCTTCATTTTATATTTGCTTTGTTTCTTTGGATAATGTTGAGTAGTACATTTAGATTATCCATAATATAAGCATAATCTTCTTGATGATGTTAATTATTTTTTAGCTTGATGAAAGTTTAAAACGTACCATATGAATTTGCATTAGTTCCAACCTTAATGAGTAAGTTTCTAAAAACTTAGGAGCTACCGCCATGACTTGACTTGTACCTCTTTAACCAAATCTTTGTTCTTGATGTCTTTCAAAAAGTTGATTATTCCATGTAATGGAATGAGCAATAAATTTTTTCAATGATTATTCTTTTGGCATTGTCAATAATAAGCCTTGTGGCTTTGATGTACATTCTCAAAGTTGAAGTCTACATCAAAGTCTTAGTCAATTATTTAGCTATTAAATCCTAAATTTATCTTGAACATCTTTGTTATTCAATTTCTTTTTTATGTTCCTTCATGTTTATGTAAATGTTGAAGTAGTCTATTGATGTCATTCACTTCAAAGCAAAACATAATTTTTACTTGATAAAATTTGTCTTGTCATTATTAGTCTTGTCTTCTAAGTTCTTTCTTCTTTGTGTTTAAAATTTCAAAGATCTTCATGAATCTTCTTCATAATACTTATAACTTATTAATAGATTAAAAGTGTATAATAAAATGATATAATATAATACTTTCATGATTAGTGTTGATTATATATGAGATTTTTATCCTAAGAGTATTGACAAGCTTGTGAAGATCTACAATAGTTACAAATTTATTTTCTCTTTTGTCTAGTATAGCATCCATAATTTTTTATTCTATTTCTATAATGAACAACTTTAAAAAATCCACAAGTCAAATTAAAAGACTATAACCCACAATTTCTAATATCAAATTAAAATTTCTACAAAAAAAGATAATTTACTTTTTTTAAAGAAAAAATCAATGTTAAAAGACAAAAAATGTCAATTTATAGGTGGATAGTTTGTAACCTTTAAAGCACAACAAAGGGACTGGAATAATCCACTCACTTCCAAACTATTAAAGATATCAATCATAAAAAAGCAAAAGATTAATACACTCTTGTATTACTCTTATAGACCAGTAGTGCAAAGGGCAGCCCTTCTTTTGTGCCCGAACATTTCCTCTTCATGAAACACTGCCCAAAAGAGTGGATGGTATTTCTTTCGAGACTGTCCAAAACTCTCGTCTGCCGCCACTGGGGATTGGAAGGGTGGATTGGGGGTGTCCTCCATGAAAGCCTTGCGAGCATTTTTGAAGCGATGGCACGCAAGTTTCAGAAGCGATGGCCGCAGGTAATGGTTGATAATTCCTCCCTTCATCGAAAAGAGGAAATATCTGATTTACTGACTTGGATTCCACTGCTTGGTGCGGATAGCAGTCGCTAGTAGCGTGCTCTTCTCCGGGTCCCGTAGTGATGTAACTGATCGGGATTAGCATGGGTGCATCTGTAGCTAGCAATCAGGGACAATAAGAGTTTCCTTCGAATGTGGCTCTTGGATTGAATTTTGACGTCTAGCCCATCACAAACAGCTCTTACGATTGATCCCCAGCAGTCAAATGCCGTGGATTACAAACCTGCAGCTTTGTTGGTCTCGCCACCTTCCCATTAACATCAGGATGAGAAACTCTTGTAGCGGCTTACTTGAGACACAACTTGTTTCTCCGGTAGAGAATGTTACCAGATCAATCTGTACCGCAGAGGAGTGAGCCAAATCCACGAGCGCTAAAATAAAAAATAAGCTATCTTATTATGTTTTCCAAAGAATGCTGTTGGTGTAGATATTGCCCTCTTCATAGTCTGGTATGTTCGTCCAGAAGCACTAAATATCATTCCCATACATCACCCTAAAATCGTGGTCTTTTGTTATTACATCTTACGCAAAGTTCCATGAAGTTGAGAATTTTGATTACTGTACAATTTGCTATCCTAAGTCTTTGCACAGCTATGTTGACTTTAAACCATTTATGAGGTATTTATGTTTGAACTCATATGTTTTATTTCAATTCAGAAATTACAATTCAATGTTCAAATGCCTTCTCAATCGTACACAAGCGTTAAACGAAATTTGCCACGCAAACACGACCAATTCAACTTACATCATCCAGTGAAGAGAAGAAAAAAAACAGCAATGAACGTGAAACATACTGCACATTGAATTCACAGACCCGTGATATTCTTAAATCATTGAGGTGGTCATGGAAAGGAGAAGTGGTGGAGACTACTGCACTGCAGATGAGAACAGAGGATACACACCTCACACGCAAGTGTATGCAAACCTACGAAAGAATGAGAAATAATGCTCCTGGGTGTTATGAGAGCTTTACATTTGTTTTCAATACTTTACATGAATGTGCACAGCGAAAAGCGTCATCGACATGATGCGAAGTCCTTGATAGGGTCCTGCTTTCGACAGCCATCTTTTTTATCTAGTGATTCAACCAATTATAAATCCCTCCAAAACAAAACTGTAAGAATAAGGTAGCCAAGTATTTGTTGTATGTACACACTCTCTCTCGCTCTTCCTCACGCATTCAAGGGGGTGGGCTGCTTGTCTCGTGCGCTGATGATGTAATCCAAACTACCCCCGGTGGCCAAGAGCCCACATATTGATAGTAAAATGATGCTAGAAGCAAACTAGGCATCTGATCAATCCATTCTCATTGCAATCCGGACACTTCGCAACATTGTTCGTGTCAGTAATGATCTTGCAGATGCCACTACACTTCGGTCATGGAACAAATCTTATCCCACCGCAGCCGTCGCATGGTATTTGATACTAGACTACAGGAAGATCTTGTGAGGGTGCCCCCAATTTGCCGTCCTTGTGAAGGCGGCGAACTTCATCAGGCCTGCCTATGTAGTGGCCTTTGAGGAACACGCGGAGAACAACAATGCAAACAACTTGCATTCAACCTGAGGGCTGCTTTGGCGCTGGAGGGCAAAGGTCAACTTCTACGACTGGAATTCAAGGCACAGAGGAGTGAGGTGGGATGCGGCAGTCTGAATGGGGCTGCCCTCCGCACTCTTGGGCAGTGTTTTGGGCAGAAGAGAGTTTTGGACAATTTCGAAAGAGCTGCCCTCCGCTCGCTTGGTCAGTGTTTCAGGCAGAGGAAATGATGGGACACAAAGGACGGACTGCGCTTCGCACCCATGGAGGATGATGATGGAATGAGGGGGCGGAGTGACATTGGACTAAATTAATCATCACATGGTTTGGGGGTGTAGCTTTAACAAGGGGTGTGGGTCTTACAAGTCTATATATATATATATATATATATATGCATGCTAGATTTATAATATAGTGTGTGGCTTTTACAAGTTTATATATATATATATATATGTATATATCATAGATTTATAATATAGTGTGGTTAAAATGACTTTGTGACAATAAATATATTTTATGATAAATATTTTTTACAGTCAGTAACCAGAACTAGATGTGTTTATGTAGTTCAGTTATTCCACTCTTAAAAAGTGGATGCTGAAAACAGTTAGAATTCCAGTTTTGATTCTGGGACACCAACATTCACCCTTCTAACACAATAAGCAAAACTACATAACAACTCCACACGAGGCAAACAATTGTTCATTAAACAGCGTTTGGTTGCATAGAAACCGCTCTTGGAAACAACACACATTCAAAGGTAAAAACAAAGGATGCAGCAAAGTCAATGGAAGGGGTCACCATTGCGGGAACAGAACGCCTTAAATTCAGCATCGAAGATACCATACTCGCAATCCAGAAGTGTGGTTTTGCTTCTGAAGAATGCCACAAATACCCAGTGTGCTGCTAAATCACGCGCCTATCTTTGCTATGAGCTTGCATCCAATGCAGGCTTTCCCTTCAGAAAGCATTGCGAGAGGAGGCATTACAGCACTGACTGCAGAGGACTCAAAACGTGAATCCGAATGTGGGTGGTTTGCAGGAACTGCAACACCACTTGCGAACCTTGGCTACGCTTCTCGATCCGGTGAAGGCAGGATTGTCAGGTCTGGTTATGTAGAGCCCATAGAAGTTTTCTAGGATCCAACGACCATCCCTAACGCGCCGAGGTGTGAGAGTAGGCCAGTGATTGACCTGCACATGCTTGGTGGTTTTGCCATCTTGTCCCTCGAGGTGGACGAACTCCCAGACACATGCGTGGCCACCCCAAATCGGATCGCCGGGGTCGCAAGTGATACTTCCATCGCAGTTGAAGTAGCGATTTAGACCAGGTTTGCCGACTTGGGTGCTGTCGAAGCTCAACCAATATGGCCCACAGGGTGGTTTCAACCGCAGCTCCCATGTGCGGCCGCACAACTCTGTGGGGAGAAGCGTGTTTTGTCGAGATTCTGTAACGGCTAGGGTGTACAGATGGTGCTGGCTCAGTCTAGAGCTTACGTCATCTCGACCCAGAAGGCACAAGGGCAAGTGTGCCCTTTGTGCTAAGAAGGCCGCTACCAAAGGCTGCCAAAGTTTGTCGGTAATTGCCAATGCTCTCCATCGCGAGCATACTGTTGCGCATCGTGCCAAGCTCCGTGCATCCAAGAGAGTCAATATGTGGCATTGGAGTAAGTCCACACCAAGAACCTCAAAGAAACTACAATCGGTGGATGCAAGGTCATCCTTGCAACCTTTTGGGCTAGCTTGCAAGGCATTGTTTCCAACCTTAGGCTCGGCCTCAATGTCGTCCGCCCTCACATCAACAGAGCAGACCAACTTACAGACTCTTTCTGTATCCTCCCAGTTGTCAAAAGGATTGGATTCTCGGCCGCGTTTGATACCTGCAGCTGTGAAGATCGGAAGAAAATAAGCGAAATAACGAAAAGCTGGAATGACTATCAACTGATAAAATGCTTAGCTAAGCGGAGCAGATAGGCCACACCCGATCATACGCACATTGCTAACATTAAAAGCCACCTTAACAGTTCCCAATTGAGTGAGAGGTGCTTACAAGGTCTAGGATCCGCAGACGACATCTGAATCATCATTGTGGTCAATTTGCAAAACTGATAGCCTAGTTCTGTGTGGCAGGCTGTACCACCGCTTGTCCAGGTAATTTTGTGGAGTAACCTTCAGTTTACACTTCCATTTCAAAAGCCAGGCCGAGACCTTGCTACAGCGAGGAGTGTGCAAGTGTTCAAGTCTACAGGAGGGAAAATAAAACAACGTGTGTAATTGTACTGAAAATTTTGGATCTGCGAGAATTCGCGGTACTTATCTCAGAGTATCGACCAAGAGAGAAAATTTGCAAAAGAGAATGAAACAAAAATAAAAAACCATGGGCGAATTTGGAGATCTAAGTATTAGAAAGCAGGCGTCGGTCCAACTCTCAAATTGCCGTCCAAAAAAGCATACAAATAAAGGATTTGCGTACTCCTGAAAGAAAAAAGTGACATCTGGACGCCAAAGTTGCAAGCAACGGGAAATTCCGACCCTTGAAAACCCTACCGACGAAACAAGAAAAAGCAAAACGACCTCTCAAAGACAGCGACAGGGATCTTTGCAACGCCCAAATCCAATCAACGTAATTCAACAAGCTATCTCACCAGGCTTCACAAAATGCAAGCAATTTCAGCTCCTAGTGCGCACTATTCCCACCCACCTACACGATGTATCGCTGTCAGCTAATCATCAAGATCCACAATTTGCAAGCCAGTCAAGCACAGTTGCAAGCCTGCACGTCAAGTGGCACCCCATCTAACGGCCAACCAGAGTGGATACCACCACTCATATGCAAGTTGTAGAAAAATAACTGAGGCAACCGCCATTTCGGCATTCAAACGTTGCCCACTGGAAACAGAGGGGACGATCAATTCTTATGAATAAATTCAGTGGATGACTGAGTTCCTCACGGCTACAACGAAATGATAATTAAGGGTTCAGTACTCCCCGCGACCCGCCCAACGACGGCACCACAAGCGGCAATTCCTCCACGCAAACGGTCTCCGAACCTTTCGGCTTCGGCGACACCACAAGCAAGCGCAATAGCATTAAATCGTAGAGGGAGTTTTTCTCATGCATACAGGTCAAGACTGAGCTTCTTTCCCACAGTTTCTTCATCTCATGCGACTCTTCTCCCACAATCATGCAGTCTGGCAGAGCCACAAATCGTTGCAAAGTGCCCACAAAGATGTTCCTGCGACTTCGTCAAAAAGGACAACATTGTGCAACATCAATGATGACCCTATACACCTGCTGCTTGAAGGACTACAAGTGGCTTTTTCTCGTCGCCAAAAGTCGCTCGCTGCGGCGCAACGTCCTGCAACCTAGAGAACTGCGGCTCATGCGCGTGTCCACATATCAGTCAGAGAAAAACTGACATATTCTTCGCAGGAACCACTCCCTGTGTCACCAGTGTCCGCTATCGAGTATTCTTTGGCACCATTCTCAAATGCTTTAAATTTGGATCAGTTAATACGACGCACTGGAAGGATGAGAGGATGATCCAAAGATAGATTCCGTAACTATTAATCGAAAACAACCAATCACTTTTTTGGACGCATCTTGGGAGTCTACCTATTGCATTATACATGGCAATTTCAGAAACTTCTTCGTTCTGCACCCGATCATTTGCCCTTCTTTCTGGGCAGCTCTGGATCGTTTCCATCAGTTCGACTTGAGAAGTAATTGGAGTTCGGTGATCATGGTGGCCACAGCGATCCATTTTAGAATCAAAACGTATGAATGATAAGACAGCATCCAGTCAAATTCGGGCATGAGAGGTCTACATCAATGAGAATGACGCGCTGGAAAAAGTATTGAAGCAGCGGTCTTTTGAATCTACTTTTGAATTCAGAATCTAATCTGCCATTCTGGAAATTGATTGAAGATACGTATCACAGAATCTTGAAAGGGTGGGTTTTGTGCTAAGGGCATATAGCATGGGATTCAGCATCAACAGTAACCACCCAGTCGTTCTAAAGGAATCTTTAGCAATGTATTTGCCTCAGAATTTTTTCTCAAAAGACCTGGACAATCGAATTGTCTCTATCAACAAGTTTCATCTTCCAAGTAGCGATTTTCTTTAAACAACCGTTGTAGAAATAAAGTCAGATCTTGTCGCGTTGAGGATACTTTGATGCATTGTTTTCTATAACACGAGCTCTTCTTGCAGACATGAGGAACGTTTCTCGTATGCGTACTAATCGTGTTAACGATGGAACACATTCAAGAGTGCGGTGCATCAAAGGATCATGAGGAAGAGGCTTTCCAAAAGAAGGCGATCAATGGTAATCTCAAACAACTATCAATGTTGCCACTTCAATCAATCGCATTGACATTCAATATCCTGACAATCAAACTCACATTCACAATTTGATGGACTCTGGCAAAGAAATTTGATTCAAAAGTTACATTATAGTATTTCGAGCTAAAAATCCACATGGATAAATACAAGGAACTTTCACTTGCTGGCAGCTACTATCCCCCAGAGCTCAAAAGAATTTTCCTTCATTTATTCAACCAGCTCCATCTTCCTGACTACTAAAACTTACCCTTTCTATGATCGATTGGATCGACAGGCTTCCCCCCTGCCAATCCCGCCACCCGCAGTTTCATTCGCAAAAAATTCAGTGGCTTGAGAGGTGAGAGAAACATTGAATAAACACAGATACTGTGCACCTGGGCAGTTTTAGGTTCCTAGCCTCGCAGGAACAACTGTTAGGGATGACAAACGTGACCCAGGCGTTAGTCCGCCTCCTACTCCAATATCCACCCCTTCACTTGTATTCGAGCATCATGTTGTTATCGGGGGAGAGCCCAATGCACGCACGCATAATGTTCTCAAGCATCGCCCGCTGTTTGGCCAAAGCGTTCACTACCGGGGTGCCAGGGGGCACGAGTGGCGCCTTGGTGAGGTAGCTAAGAAGGGCAGCAACGGGGTGGAAAGAGTGGAACTTCTCCTGTCCGTCTTCCTTGAATTGAATTCGTGTGCAGAGCTCAGCCAACAAGACCAAGTCAAGGATGAGGGGCGCGGCCAAGAGAGAATCTTCACAAGTGTTGTGCATGACGATAGTATTGCGTCCGCCCATGAAAATCTCGGAAGTGTACTCGTCCATTGCTCTCTTGCTGTCACCGACGTAGGGCACGTACTTGATTACAATAACGTGGTCGGGATGCTCGCCGGGTGCGTAGAGAATGGAGTTGCTGGCGACCATGTCATCTACCACATTGCTTTTGGAGATCTCCTTGGAACGAAAGGTCTGAGGTGCTGACAAGTTCATGCCATCGTTGTTTCCCAAATGATTGTAGCTCACAATTGAGGTGGGCTGTGCACAATAATTCAGAGATTCAGAACAGGATACATCGTGACAAACCATAGAAAACGATTTAAAGAGAACCGGATACTTCCAGTGAACCAAACGAGATGCTTAGGAATCACCTTAATGCCTGCTCCAACGAGGAAGTCCACAAGCACAGATTTCATCTTGGTTTGTCCGCTCTTGAAGTCATCACCGCCAATAAGAGATTTCTTCTCTACAGCGTACTCAATTACGCCTGCACCAAAGTTCCCGATATACATAAACGCACTGTTAAGTTTATGAGGGAATTTTCGGAAGCAGACCTCATCAAGGTTTCAGATGCTCGAATAAGTCGCTACAAGAATAGTAGAGAGACCACCAAGACTAGTATCGATAGCGATTCCATTCATATCGTTGACCGCACGGGTGAAATGGACTATAAGGGTGTCTGGCTATTGAATGAACTTCAACTCCCTTAAATTCACAATAACTACGCAACTAAAATAGATGATGCTCGAAACTGGAGCTTACAACAAATCAGTTTCACTTACCGGGAACGAAGGTGTTTTGGGGGCTGCCATTGATGAATGGAACTTGTTCGTGAATGCAAGCGAGAGCAAATAAGGTAGAGGGCGAAATTTCTTTCTCTCCCTTCTCCAAAGATGCAAACAAATTATCCTTCGTGTCATTGAGACCAACGATCACATCACTGTATCGTTCGGTGTTAGCAGTCCACAGCACAACGATCTTGTCCACCTTGTTCTGAGCCTTAAAGTCCCTGCAATCACAATGTTTTGACCTCAGCATTCAAACGCATCGATGCGATCAATTTCCGTAACTCTCTAGAAACAGGCTGTAGGGCTCGGAAGAAGTATAGAATCGGACGCCCTACCTAATGTCCTGGATAATCTTCTCCATTTGCTCCTTCTTCGTACCCTTGATCAGATTGTTGGCGCGAGCCTCCTGGTTGGCAGCAATGAAATCAGGGTCGTAGATTCCGGGCATGGGAACCATGTCCTGCATAAGCGGGCGGAGCTGCTTCTGCAAGTCAATGTCCAACACACGAGCTCGGTCCATGGCGTCGGCCAAGTTCATGTTCGAAATATCCCACCCTCCAATCACGAGGTCATTGGGGTCAACCTGCACATACAGCACACCAAATGGACTTCCATTCAAAAAGAGAGATCAAAAAAGACCACACCCATGAAATGACCAGGCAGCTTTCAGCAAATTCACTGAACAGCACGAAAATCACAGGCAAGTAATGAGTAGCTCACTACCATTGGCAGAATACTCTTGAATGGTACGTGAATTTCCTCGCCCTGGAAAGCGCCCACGCGGCAGGTGGATGCTTGAGTAAGAGACCCAAAGTAGTTAGCGTGTTGCACGCCATCCTTGGTCACCCAAGAGATACCTCTGTTACACCCTAATAAAATGTTAGCAGACACAGACGAAGAGCAACATTGTAGAAAACCAGATAAACCAATCTAACATAACACGAAAATGCGAGAAGGAGAGGTCTAAGACTTACTCTCTGTTAGCAAGAATACCAGCCGTGAGAGTGGATCCGTTGTTGCCGCCCCACCCAACAAGCATCATTCTGCAGGTACCCACCACACACAACCCAGAATTATTCATCTGTGTCAAAACCACTATTACGAAAGACATTCTCCAGAAATGTTCGCGCGCCAAGGAGCGGGAAAATACGGTGCGGTGTGACCAGAGGAAACGGTGGAAGACAGAGAAGTAGCAGACGAAATCAAACAAAATCCCAGCAAAGGGCTCGCAGAGTGTTACAAAACAGCACAAACTAATTGCACTGTGAGAGGGATAGGCTTCTAGCGATGTGCTAGCAACACCATCAACGTTGTGATCAAGCCCGAATTAAGATGCGGAGGCAAGGATGCAGAAGATTACCCCAGCTTGGGCACCTTGCGCTCGGTGATGAATTGATATGGCACGGATTTGGGCTTGGCCACCCACTCGTACTTGCCATCGCTCTTCTGCTCGTGCAAGAACTCTGTGGTTTGGTACTCATACGTAGACCTGATCGCGTCGTCGGTGTACTCAACATGGGGACTGTCCACGCGGAAGCTGTCGACCAACATATTGGCAAAATGAAACGATGGAAGGAAGAATGGCAGGCTTGGCTCTCAGATCTCCAACACTCTGTCTCAGGGGAAAACTCAAGCAGACAAGCAAATGTCCTACTACTGAGTATCCAAATGCGCCACCGCGCAATGACTTAAAACTCAAATCCTGAGAGAAAAAGTCACACGAAATCCGTCCAACTGCTACCACAACTTCCCTGCCACTCAGGTTTTTCACTCAGATTCGAGTATAGCGGAGGCCTATAAATTCTGGTCCATGATCGAGAACGCAAGCAAATTCCCCGAAAACACCAGCCCCTCCTCCTTTCTTGCCTCTGCGCGAAAGATTGGCTAACCCATCGCTTGCGGGACAAACCCTTGCTCAAACATTGCCCTGCTCGACCCTCCAATTCCGCCAAAAACGAAGATGTGGGTTCCCTCCCTCATCTACATTTTCAACCCTTAATCAACGACTTGCGTTCGGACTCCGCCAAATTACACGAATTTTACTGCACTCCCCCCACCAATAAGCACCGGGGCGGTGCCAGAATTCCACCCAATGCTCCAACGACGCAGTAGATAAATGTAAACTTTACTGATTCATCCGTAACAATTATCCAGTGCATGGTTGGCGTTGCTTTGGAATAGACTAGCTTGCGCATATTGTGACTGCTTGGCTTTCCACTTGGAAGGCTATTTTTGGGTGGGAAAGGGAATTATTTTGCACCTAGTTGGCATGTGTGTTCATCACATTGCTATATGCCATGTGGCGATTACATTTTTTTGCTGTTTCGTTTTACATGAAGTACGTTAATATTAAACATATGTGCTAAGGTGTGGATGTAATGTCTAAACCAATCCTATATATCCATCTTTACCAAATAATCAATATTTAATAGAGCATGGCTTAAAGTATTTGTTGTCATCTATACAAACACATACAAATATACTACAAACAAGCAATTTTTTTAACATAACCATAATAATAAATTATTCATACAACATTCTACTCAAATTAATAGAATGTATGATATAATTGGAAAGTATAATCACTTGCCAAACAAAGCCCCTAAATAATAATAATAATATTAATAATAAAAATCATAATAAATACATATATATATATATATATATATATATATATAAATTAATGTTGTCTTTTAACATAAAATATTAAGGTTATGGAATAAACTCATATTAAATCATTTATAGATTTAGATTTTATTATTATTATTATTATTATTATTATTATATATATTAAATATGGACATATATGTATGCATGTATGTATAAACTTATATATATATATATATATATATATTCATTAATATTAACAAAAATTTATATTATTAAATACATAGCAATAACAAATTAGAAATTTTCTTTCTTTTTTTCTTTAGATTTGAATTTATTATGATATAACTTTAATCTATATTAGTTTTTTTTTTCTTACTACCTAGTATAAAAAATGTATTAATATATGCATCAATTATGATTTTTACATTAGTTATTTATCAATTTATCATATATATTACCAAGAATAAAAAATAATTATATACTTTTTGATTTTTTACATTTCTTTGTTTATTTATTATGTCAAAAATTATATGTGTGTATATCTATTTATTTAAAAAATAATATTTTTTATATAATTATACTTAAGAATCAATAATTAATGGAATTTGTTAGCAATGTTCAAAATTATAGATACTAATTGTTTAAAATCAATTCTTTTCCACATTGAATTTTTTTTTGTCTTTGTTCTATGCGTCCCTTATATTCCATCTCTATATCTTTCATCTCTTATTCCTTGTCTCTCATTCCCATTTCTCTCATCCATCTTCCTTCATTGTCTTTGTCTCTCTTCCTTCTCTTTCTTTTCCATTTTCAGTCTCCATTTTCAACATCCATCTTTGTCCAAACTCTCTTGTGATTATTTTAAATCCCAATTTGAGCACATCTATGTTTGATTTAGCACATGAGAGAAGAATGATTACTAAATGTCATGGATCTATATATTTACCTAAATAAAATAAATTAGATAGAAGCTAAATGTATGTAGATTTGTTATTATGATTAGGCAAAGCTTCTTAGATATGTATTTGATTTTAGACATGTTTGTAATTGATTGATAAGTTAGATATTTGACCAACTAATTAGCTACATGTTGCATGTGTTTTAGACATGTTTGTAATTGATTGGTAAGTTAGATACTTGTGTAGTAAAAAGAAGTAAGTAAATCAAGTTCACAACTAAATAAGAGAAGTTTTCTTATTACAAGTATAAGGGAGGCAAAGATAAGCATGATGGAGAAATTTAATAGAACAAGATCAAAGTTTTTAGAGTTTTTATAATAAATCAAGCTCCATCTAAAATAACATCATATCTAATATCTTGATGGATTTACTCAAGTTAAATTCATAAGTGCATTTTTATCTGGAAGTACTCTCTTTTGGTTCATATCTTTTGATGGAAAAAGATTTACTACTATTTTTTGATTTAAATTTATTCTTAAAAGTTTTTATGGCCATATTTAAAGAAAGTGGTTAAAAATGACAAAGATCATGTTTAGCTACTACATATATTACTGAATTCCAAAATCTTTCTTGTAATGTGGATTGGAATGATAAAGCTTTTATCAATCAATTTCAATATGAATTAAAAGACAATGTCAAAGATTTATTGTTAATAATGCTAAGAGTAAATTCATTAAAAAAATCAATTCTTTGAAAGATGCAAAGAATAAAGATTTAATTAAAGAGGTACAAATCAAGCTATAGCAACATCTTTTAAGTTTTTGGAAGCTTATTTATCAAGGCCAAAGCATATGCAAATTAATATAATATGATTTAAACCTCTTACTGAGCAAAAAATATTCAATATTTTCAAAAATATTTATGCATATATTGTGGAAAATCCAAACATATTATTTAAATTTATCCAAAAAAGTAACATAATTATAAAATAAAAATTATGGTTGCCAAAAAAGATTGTATCAGAAAACAAGTTTTTTCATCTACAATAAGAATTGTGTAGCTAGAACCTTGTGTAATACCTAACAAAGGTCTTATTCTCTCTTTAAATCTTGTATCTTATTTTACAATAGAAGTTTGTTTAAGATCGGTAAATTACGAGGTCTTTTCTTCATTGGGTTCAAGAGTCTAAGCTTATTTCATAAACAAAGATTTTATCAAAAAAACAACAAATATTCTTAATCAAGAAAATCAAATCTATGTATGTAGAAGTTATAGATAGTCATTTTTTGTCTTTTGGAGATGTTATCTATAAAATTATTCTTTTAGATGTAGTAAATAATGGTTATAATAGCTTAATAATATTTATTTTAATTAGATCTCCTTCTAATTCAATTATTTTAGAATTATTGTAGTTATAGAAGTATAACCCTCGAATAGATTGAATTTCTTATAACCTTAATTTTTTTTAATAGTTAAGATCAAAATTCTACTAGTAAAATATAGACTCATAGATCTAATACAACCAAATTCTTATTAATAAGTACAAATGCTTTTATGCATGCTGTAAAAGAAAGGCAAGCTTTTGCTGTATACACTACACCTATTTTTGATGGAAAAAAGACTTTAAGTAGCATTTCAAGCTAGAACTAAGATTATTAAGACATTTTCTAGAAGACCAATGTAAATATTCTTTTAGAGTATCATCTCTAGGATTATTCAATCAATCTTCAAGAAAAAACTCAACCACCATTTGGACCAATTTATAGCTTATTGCAAAACGAGTTGGTTGCACTTAAGAAATAGATTAATAAAAATTTGGCTAATAACTTCATATACCATTTTAAATCTTTACTAGGAGCTCTAATCTTATTTGTAAAGAAAAAAGAAAGATCTCTATGAATGAGTGTGGACTATCAAAGATTCAATAAAATCACCATCAAGAATATATATCCTTTACCTTTAATTTTAAGACTTTTTAATCAACTAAATTAAGTAAAGTTTTATACAAAAATAGATCTAAAAAGAACATACAATCTAATATTCATCAAAGAAGGAGATAAGTGAAAAACTATGTTTTAAATCAACTATAAATATTTTGAATATATTGTCATATTTTTTAGACTTATGAATGCTTTAACTGCTTTTGAACATTTAATAAATGAGATTTTTTATAAGTTTCTTAATGATTTTGTTGTCTCTTATCTAAAAAATATTTTAATCTATTCTAAAAATACAAAAAAGCATGAACTTTAAATTTATCATAAGTTACAAAAATTAAAAAAAATACATGATTATACTCCAAGATAAAAAAGTGTATGTTTCATACTACTCAAATTTACTTTTTAGAATATATTATTTCAAACAATGGACTTATGATGGATCTTAAGAAGATTCAGACTATCATGGATTACAAGATTCCAAAAATAGTCAAGGATGTGTAATATTTTTTAAGATTTATTAATAATTATAAAATCTTCATCAAAATCTTTTTTCAAATTATGACTCTTTTTATATATTTAACATATAAAAATAAACTTAAGTAGAATAAAGAAGTTGAAGAATCTTTCAAAGCCTTGAAGATTATATTTATTTTTGTATCTATCTTGTATTGCATTATTTTTTTAAAGTATTGTTTATAAAAAAAAATGCATCAAATTTTGTTATAAGTGCAATGTTATTACAAATGAAGTACATGACAAGTTTCTTTCAATAGTTTTTTATTCCAAAAATTTTTCAACATTCAAGATTAACTATGAGATCCACAACAAAGGGCTTTTTATAATCATGAATTCATTTCAAGAATAGCATTATTATCTAAAAGGTGCTTCTAATTCAATCATCATATGTACAAATCACAATAATCTTGAGTACTTTATAGCAATATATATATTTTAAATTATCATTAAATCTATTATAATATATTTTTATTAATATTTGATTTTAAAATCATATACTAACTTGGAATACAATAAGGTTTGTTAGACGTCCTTTCTAAACTTACTTATCTTGCATCCAAAGAATAAGATGAAAATTTTAATTAAC